AGGCAGGCAGGTGGGCAGTGCACACCCCCACTGCTCCTGGGGACCACAGGTGTCCCTGAGGACAGCCACGTACGCTGCAAGTGCAAACAATGATCCCCAAGCCCATGCCCAAGCGGTGCCATCATCAGAAGACACAGGGGAGGATTATCTTTGCCTTCCCGACTCTTCCTGAGCCACCACGCAGGCAACGAGCATCCATCCCACCACAGCAGGCAGGCAGGAGGGGAGGCTCTTCCAAGGGCACCTGCTCTGTGCCCTGCCAGTGCATGGGCTGACCCTGCTCCAGAGGCTGCCTCAGCCTGCAGGGCCCGCAGAAACTTGCCGTGGCCCATCCGTGCCTCCCCTTGGGAGCTGGGGGCCAGAGCCTGCGCCTGCCCTGCCAGAGGGGCCCACCCCTGCCCTGCCAGAGGGGATGGGAGAGGGGAATGGGAAGAGAATGGGGCAAATACTTGTATGAGGCTGCGAACGGTTGAGATCACCTTCCCATTTCGCTGGAGTGAGCAGGAGACCTCAGGAGCTTGTTTTTGATCAAGGCTGTCACTTTCTCAGTCTCCTTTTGCTGTAATATAATTATAACAATACTTCCCAGGTCATAAACAGTTCAGCTGGGCATGGCAATGACTGGAGCTGCGTGTTTTGCAGGAAGCCCCTAATAAGCACGTTAGCACAGACTAACAGGAGGCATTCATCCCACCGTGTCCCCATATGCCCCCCTTGTCCCCCCAGCTGTTTCTGCGTGCCCTGGCCAGGGCACGTACCATGGGGGAGCCTCGAACAGGGCTTTGCCCAAAGGCCCGTGGAAGCGCGGGGTGCCTGGGCTGTGCAGAAGTGCTCCTGCGGTTATTTACACCTGTTTCTATCCTTTCTTTTCTCAGCCGGGGACTGGCAGCAAGTTGTTTGTGAGGGTTTTTCCCCACCCTGGGGATGGCGATTTTTCTCCCTGAGTGATGGGGTGTCTTCAGCACATTGCCCTTCCCCAGCCTCCTTTCTGGTTCCCTTCGGCAACTGGAGAAATTACAATCGGGTTGGTGATCCCCGATGCCTGGGTGCCTCTCTTCCAGGGACCCCCTTCCCCAACGTGTGTGGCTGTGTGACGTCGCAGAGAGCGGCCATGACGTCAGGCGGCCGTGACGGGTTGGTGATCCCCGATGCCTGGGTGCCTCTCTTCCAGGGACCCCCTTCCCCAACGTGTGTGGCTGTGTGACGTCGCAGAGAGCGGCCATGACGTCCGGCGGCCGTGACGGAGGGGTGCAGGGAGGGGGACAGGTCGCTGAAAGCACCCCACGGCCGGACAGAATCGGTGCGGCAGAGCCC